GGGGGCCCGATCGTGTGCCACGGACACCAAGACAGTTCCTGGCCAGGCTTTTAGGGACTACCCGGAAGTCCTTCTTATAAAGCGAAACCCTAAACTCAACGTACCTCACTCACCCTAACTATTCTCATCTCAACAAAGAAAAGAAAAAGAAAAACATGAATATAAAAGATCACAAGAGCACTTACCACCCTCTGTATGATCCAATAAAGAAAAAAAAAAAGAAGAAAAAAAATAAAAACTGATACCTACATTTTTTTATTGTGTTGTATTGATTTGAATTGTATAATTTTGTATCGTCGAAATCATTCTAAAATATAAAAAGAAAAGATTAATATTTGATTCAATAAATTGAATGATTTTACATAGAAAATCATTCATATTTATATGTTAAAAATCGATAATTTTGTTTTTCTTTTCTCGTCAGAGAGTGATGAAAAGATGATAGTAATTAAGCAATCGTCAACATACACACATACATTGATATACACATGGATTATGTCATATTATCATTGATCATCAATGATAACCTGAACAATGACGACTTACGGACGAGAGAAGAAAAGAAAAAAAAAATATTATCGTGACCTATATTATTTTGTCATTCTTCTCTCACTTCCATATTCAGTTGTGAGCACGAAACAGACGAGCACACAATATTCAAGTATGTTCATATCATTCACTTCTTTTTTGTTCTGTCCAATAGATCAACTTTAGGATATCAACAAACAGTTTATTTTATTTCAGTTCAATTTAAATGAAATCATTGAAAAATGATCGATATTGGATTTTAACAGTTCATTCAACATTAAATTTATTTGCTGCTGGTAAGATTCTTTTCATTTTCAAAAAAAAGAAGTAAAACAAAATATTTGTTTGCTAGGTCATGATAATCAAATATTCACGACGATTGGAAATTAGAACATCAAAAGGCGTTCCTCTTATATAATTACAAAGGTAAATTTTTAAAAATAAATTAATTGTTTTATTTTATTTGAAAATACTGTGAATGGTCCACGTTCGAAAGATGCTAGTGAATCAAGAAATTCAATATAAAACTCTGGATGATATGATTTATTCGAATTGAAGGTTAGGATCTTAAAAAGGTCTAACATTTCAAAAAGAGAAAGATATTTTATCTAAATTGTTCGATATTTTAAATGTATATTCTTCTTTTCTAGTATGTGAAGGTCGTTGTTCATCTGATTTAAATGTCATAAGGGTTGCTTTAAATCTTTTTTATGGATTTTAATACAACATACAAAAAAAATTTAATTAACAGATGGTAATGGAATTTTTTATGCTGATAGAGGTCTTGATTAATTCGTGAAAATGATCATATTAATATATATGATGTTTAACAAAAATGTTCATTAGCAAGTGTAAGAAAAGGCAAAGTTAAATATACAATGTGGTCAAATGATACGAATTACTTATCATTATTAGGATGATTCAGGTGTTTTTCTTCATACAACATTAAATCATATTAAGTATGCACTTATTAATGGTGATCATGGAATTATTCATATACTTGATTTATATATTTGTATAACAAAAGTTAAAGTAATAGAAAATACGATGAAGTAAAATTTACAAATTTCTTTTCAAAAATCTTCATCTTGAAAACAACTGATGCAAAAACAAGATTTGGCTTAGCACTTGAATATAGAACTATTGATGTAAATTATTTGTGATTTTTTTTAAATAGTTTCAATTATCTATTTTTTGAAAAACGATGAAAAGTGGTTTGAAAAATTTCTTGTTGTTTTTATTTTATTTTATTTTTTTTGTTTAGCTGAAGTACGATAAGATGTTAGTAGACAATTTCAAATTGCAATCTTATTAGGGGATGTTGAAGAACGGATGAAATTTCTTAGACAATGCAATCAAAGTAATATTTTATATTTTTTCTCTATGAGATTGAATTATGTTGTGTCTTTTTTTTTATACAATAGAATCATTTGATGAAAAAGTAATATATTATGGATAAAAAAATACTCTCATGTTAATACTTTGTCCGAGAGGATTTTTAAAAAAATTAAAGCAATTTAGAAAGTTTTATTTTTCGTTTTCTATTATCTTCAATTGGAAGTCTTCAAAATTAGTTATAGATTTTCGTGTAAATATGCCAATTTCTTGAGATATTAAATAATTTCTAAACAATCCTTAATTGTATTCAACACATCATTTATCTAAAGAGTTTCCTGTACTGTTGTATAAAGAAGTTTATGATAATTCTCGAAGTTTCTTTCGATATTGAATGATAAGTTTTTTTAAATAAATTGTACAAAAATCAGTATGTCATAGTTAATTTAGTTTATTTTCTCTGATTAATATTCATTAGAATGTAGATTAAAAACAGAATAAGAAGACTTCATATTCTGTTTCAAAAAAGGAATAAGCCGGTAGACTGAGATTTTAACAAAGTTATTACTGTTACTTGTTCTTTGTTTAATTGATATGTTAAATATGAAATAATAAGATAGACATACATTTAATCAATATTAATCTCGTGTTAAATTTAGTAATTCAAAATAAAATATTTATTTTAGATACCTGATATAAATCTAAATGCTAAATTAATTTTATCACCATGTTCAATAAGTCAATAAGAATCAAAGCAAATTTAATATCCAACATAACAGCAAAACTTGCTGCAAACCTTCATATTGATGAAATAGCAAGAAGTGGTGAAGATTGGACTGATGATGCA